ATCTATCTATCTATCTATCTATCTATCTATCTATCCATCCATCCATCCATCCATCCATCCATCCATCCATCCAAAAATCTAGAACAGAACAGGCTAGTCTAACTTCTCTGAGACAAGATTTACACAAAGCTGCCATGGCAAACATTTTCTGTTATTTGCAATGATGTCCAAGAAATGTGTTGCCACTTCATTTTTTGGCTCGGTGTTGATGTGCAATAATATTGTGTAAAAGATTTGTTTGGTTTGGCATTTAAATGTTGATGTTTTCAAATCCATGAAACTGAGTTGATAATGAAAATACGGTTTGCTGGGGAATGTATGTGTGTGAGAATAGGAATAGTTTGGCACGTTTACATGCAGCTAACAAAGCTGGTATGTCTGGATTTTGAAGCTGGTAAGCGAGAAACAATTTGGGAGTGGTGATGTAGCCAAGCAGTTTGTTTTGGAGAGAATGGACAAGACCGGGCAGTATCTGATCATGAAAAAGTACATTTGATTATTAAATAAATGTGTGTTGTGTCAAAAGATTTTTATTCGAGAGTGACTTTGAATCTGTTCAGGCAGTGAGAAGTGGAGCTGAATGATCTCTGGTGGCCTAGGGACTGATTTCCATGAGAAATTTGAACATGGGGAAAAGAAAGCAACTCCTAGAAGCTTGTTAAGAACTTTTTAAAAATGTTCTCTGCTGCTGATTGCCAGTATTCTCATCAAAAAGGCTCGAGTGATGTTATGACCATCACCTGATTGTAAAATAGTACACTGGGAGCCTGGTGACAAGGCAGTTCTGGATGGGCAGGACATGATTGCATCAACTGGCCATTCCTAACACTGATGAGGAGGATGCTCAGCAGTGGCAAAGAGAAGCTCTCACACAAGTGGGCAACACAGGAGACTTTCAATCACTGCAAACTCCCCACAGCCATCTTCTCCTCCCCAGTGTGTTACTTTTCCTCCCCATCCAGAATTTTATGCAGAATATTGATGCCTGTACAAGAAAAAGGGTGGGAAATCCTTTTTTTATGATTCAGCCCAGCATTAAAATAAAGTGCTGAGAAGGACATAGATTGTCTATTTTATCTTTTTTTAAAAAGGTTAATGTAGTGAAATAATAATAGCAACTAGTGATGTTAATGTAGTGAAATAGTGATAATACATTAAAAAACCTAAATATATCATAGTAGTTAAATGAACTAAACATAACACAATTAAATTTAGTTCTGGGAATTGAAGTCCACAGGTCTTAAAGTTGCCAAGTTTGAGAAACACTGCTCTATGGTTCCAAAAAGAAAAGCTCTTTTTTTTCTATTGTCTAGTTTTTTTTCTAATCATCAAAACCACAAATCATCAGTTCATTTTTTTCTCTTTCATGCAAAAAATCTATTAGGGGTTTCCAGTTGAACGTCTTCTTTCTTCTTATGGAAATCTCTAATGGGGGTTGGGAGGTCTGTTTCCTACTTGTAGATTGGAACCCACCATCACCAAGAGAGTTGCCATCAAGCCACAAAAGTTGAGCTCCTGGTGTAGAAGAGTCCTTACCTGTGGTCTAGAACAGTGTATCTCAACCTTGGCAACTTGAAGATGTGTGGACTTCAACTCCCAGAATTCCCCAGCCAGCCA